ACCAGGCTTCTATAAGATAATAATGATATAAAATAAAATATAATGAGATAAAACACAAACTAACACATCAAAATTGAATGAACAAACAAGAAATGAAAAGAGTCCAAGAGAAGGCACAAGAAACAGAAACCCATTGGTTTGTACATTCAGCAATCTCATAAAAAAACAACTGGAAGCTATAATATATTTGCAAAGTACCTGATTTTATCAAACAAGTCTTTCACTTGTTTGGAAAGAGTTATCCCAAGATACAATAAATTATCTGAGGTTATTGTGAAGGGTATTGTTTCCCTGAATTCTTTCTCAGTGTTTTTGTCATTTGTATGTAGGAGGTCTCTTGATTTATGTGAGTTAATTTGGTATCCTGCTATTTTCCTGAAGGTGTTTGTCAGCTGTAAAAGTTATCTGGTGGATTTTTATGATCATTTAATACTATCCTATTATCTGCAAATAAAGATATTTTGACTTCTTCTTTTTCAAGATGTATTTCCTTCATCTTCATCAGTTGTGTTATTGCTTTAGCCAAGACTTCAAGTACTATATTGGCTAGGGATGGAGAGAGTGGACTGCCTTGTCTTATTCCTGATGTTAGTGGAAAAGCGTTGAGTTTCTCTTCATTTAAGTTGATGTTGGCTATCTGTTTCCTGTATAATGCCCTTACTGAGATATGTATGTTCTTTTAATTCCTGATCTCTCCAGAACTTTTATCATGAAGGGCTGTTGGGTACTGTGAAAGGTGTTGTCTACATCTAATGGGATGATCCTGTGGTGTTTGGCTTTCAGTTTGTTTATATGGTGGGTTACATTTATCAACTTACATATGTTCACCCATCCCTGCATCTCTAGGCTGAAGCCTACTTGATCATGGTGGATGATCTTTTTGATGTGCTCTTGAATTCAGTTTGTAAGTATTTTATTCATAAGGGAAACTGTTATGTAGCTATTTCTTTGTGGGCATTTATGTGGTGTTGGTATGAAAGTAGTTATAGCCTTGTAAAACAAATTGGGCACTGTTGCTTCTGTTTCTATTTTGTAGAATAATTTGAGGAGTATAGGATTATAGGTGTGTGGATTAATGTCAGGGTCTTCAATTCTTTTGGCTGTCCTGGGGTTTTTGTTTTCCCATATAAAATTGAGTATTGTTCTTTCCAGGTCTGTAAAGAATGTGTTGGTATTTTGATGGGGATTGCATTGAATCCGTAGATTGCTTTTGGTAAGATTGCCATTTTTACTATGTTAATCCTGCCTATCCATGAGCATGGGAGATCTTTCCATTTTCTGACATCTTCTTCAGTTTCTTTTTTCAGGGACTTAAAGTTCTTGTCATACAGGTTCTTCACTTGCTCAGTGAGAGTTACCCCAAGGTATTTTATATCATTTGTGGCTATTGTAAAGGGTGATGTTTCTCTGATTTCTTTCTCAGCCAGTTTGTCATTTGTATATAGGAGGGCTACTGATTTTTTTAAGTATATCTTGTATCCTGCTATGTTGCTGAAGGTGTTTATAAGCTGAATGAGTTCCTTGGTCGAATTTTTGGGGTCACTTATGTATACTATAATATCATCTGCAAATAGTGAAAGCTTGACTTCTTCCTTTCCAATTTGTATCCCGTTGATCTCCTATGTTGTCTTATTGCTCTGGCTAGAACTTCAAGTACTATATTAAATAAGTATGGGGAGAGCAGACAGCCTTGCTTTTTTCCTGATTTTAGTGGAATTGCTTTGAGTTTCTCTTCATTTACTTTGATGTTGGCTGTAGGCTTGTTGTAAATTGCCTTTATTATGTTTAGGTATGTTCCCTGTATTCCTGATCTCTCCAAACCTTTATTATGAAGAAATTTTGGATTTTGTCAAATGCCTTTTCATCATCTAGTGAGATGATCATGTGGTTTTTTTTTTTCCAATTTGTTTATATGGTGTATTACATTGATGGACTTTTTATGTTGAACCACCGTTACATCCCTGGTATGAAGCCTACTTGATCATGGTGGATAATTTTTTGATGTGTTCTTGGAGTGTGTTTGCCAGTATTTTATTGAATATTTTTGCACCAATGTTCATGAGGGAGATTGGTCTGTAGTTCTCTTTCTTTGTTCTATCTTTGTTTTACTTGGGAATCAGGGTAATTGTAGCCTCATAAAATGAGTTTGATGTTCCTCTTGTTTCTATTGTGTGGAACAATTTAAAGATTATTGGTATTATCTCTTCTTTCAAGATCTGGTAGAATTCTGCACTGAAACCATCTGGTCCTGGGCTTTTTTTGGTTGGGAGACTTTTAATGACTAATTTTATTTCTTAGGGGTTA